CCCACACTTCCTGAGCTTACCTAGGAGGATGTGATGGGAGACAGTGTCAAAAGCCTTGCTGAAGTCCAGGAAGACAACATCCACTGCTCTGCCCTCATCTACCCAGCCAGTCATTGGCTCTCAGATAGGTGAAGCATGATTTCCCTTTGGTGAATCCATGCAGACTACTCCTGATCACCTTCTTGTCCTCCAGATGCTTAGTGATGACCTCCAGGATGAGCTGTTCCATCAGCTTTCCCGGGATGGAGGTGAGGCTGACAGGCCTGTAGTTTCCTGGCTCCTCCTTCTTGCCCTTTTGGAAGACTGGGGTGACACTGGCTTTCTTCCAGTCCTCAGACACCTCTCCTGATCTCCAGGACCTTTCAAAGATGATGGAGAGTGGCCTAGCGATTACATCCACCAGCTCCCTCAGCACTCGTGGATGCATCCCATCCAGCACCAACCTGACATACAAACCCCGACCCAGCTGTTGGAATGGAGTTAAGTTTTGGGTAGCGACTGAAGTTGCCTTATATTTCCACAGCTCAGTTCTCTGTTGTAGTAAAAATGTTATAACTTTATCTTGGCAGACCACACCATTGTGCCTCTTTCCTGTAAGGAGTTAAGTGCTTCTCAGGACTTGCAGTGCAGGTTTTTGCCAAGCATCTAGGGCCCGGTTAGGAGCTCTTTGGGTTGGATGGTGCAACAGGGGAGAGCTTGCTCCTTTGGCAAGCAGCAAATAGGCATGAAGAGTATTCACACGGTACGACAGCATAGAAGTGTATTAGTATTAACAATATTTGAACAGAAATATCATTGTAATGTCTTATGCATGCAGTGGTCCAAGTTTGCCAGGTGACTCGAAGACTAGGGTAACTTTTACCCTGGACTGCAGAGTGGGGTATTTCCCAACTTTCAAGAGCCTTCGTAATCTGACTGCCAGCTATATCTTTAGCTGCATTTTCCCTGGGCTTCCTTCCATCCTTTATGGAGTTCTTCTCCTCAGCATAGCTTGACCCTTTCCATCATTCTGCTCCTTATAGAGCCTCGGTGCCCTCATTGCCTCATGCGTTGTCTTCCCTTTGATCCTTTTTATAAAGTCCCACTCCCAAGTACCAGAATGTCTTTTCTGTTTCTCATTATTGCTTTCTGTTCTCCTCCTTGCCAACAATTCTGACCTTAGTTTTATTGACTAGTCTAACTTAGAAGGGTGGCTCTTTGAAGAATCCTTATCAGTGCAGCATATGCATGTATAGCAAGTAAACGTGAGGCTCAAGTTTTAATGCATTTACTTGCTTCACAACATTTCCCTCTGTTCTTCGAGTAACTGCTTTGACTTTGGTAAGATTCCTAACAGAGTAATGTCTAACTCTGAAGAAATATTTGTGTTGGGACTTGCACCTCTGTGATTTTCTCAGAGCATTTGAACTCCTAAGTATTCAGAGGAAATTCTGCGCTTTTTAAAACACAGTGTGGCAAGTCTGCTTTTGGAATGTCGTGAGCAGTGATTTTGGCCTTATTGTGGACATTTTGCCTTGAAAATGCAAAAGCTTCTTTGCATGAAAAAGATTAGGGTCCCAGATTTAAAATTTAGGTTTAAGCATTTACCACTGAAAAGTCCCAACAGAGAAAACATTATTCTCCAAACCAGAAATACATCTTTTTAACCACCAGTGATTTAATAAAGGAAAAACTCCCAAAGCATTTGAATAGATGTCCAGTCTTTCTCTTCTAGCAAAATACAGGATATAGTGTCTGAAAGCTTTAGAGGCCAAGAAGGCTCACTTCCTTTGTGCACATGTCTAATTCCTAGTGCTTTTTGTCTCTCCCTGTGACTACGGTGTCTTTGCTCCCAGAGGCAGAAGGACAAATGACTTCCTCTGACTTAGACATCCATGTGGCTTTATTAGTAAGGTAGTAGGAAGTGTGTTCTTCTCCTGGAGACTTAGCTTATCTGCTCTGTCACATGCTGTACTTTTTGCATTGCCTCTTTAAGTCCCCCACTTGGCAGCACGATGCCGGGAAGCGACAAAGCTGTCAGGGTGAATATAGGTCTCAGCAACTGTGCCACGCTCTAGCTCGTTTTTCTGCAAGTCTCCTAAAGTTCTTCTGACAGGGAGCTGATGGCCCTTCTGCCCTCAGCCTTTTCTGTATTTTTATGTGCTTGTTTTTGGTTTTCATCCTTCTTATCAGAAAATGGGGAACTTGCTCAGCATCAGGAGTTGCCCTTCTCCTTGAAGACAGGAGCTTCAAAAACTTCAGGTTGTTTTTGCAGATTTGAGGGTTGAATGTGGAAGGCAACAAAGACCTCAGGGAACTTTAAGTTTCAGGAACGACTGTCAAGTCCTACCTCTTGGCAACATTCAGGTATTTGGTCAGGTAACATGTGCTTGTTTGGCTTTTTATTTTCAGCTCCTGAAGTACTGGCCCAGAAACCGTACAGCAAAGCCGTGGACTGCTGGTCCATTGGGGTTATTGCATACATCCTGTAAGTATCTATTGGTTCTTGAATCATAGACAGCTTTGGGACCTGCAACACCCTCTGTCACCATTTGGGTACTCGCTTCCTCTCATCCAAGAAAGTTGCTCTCTGACACTTGTGACTCAGGATAATGTGAATCCTGGGCACCTCCCAGGCACGTCTAGCCTGAAATTTGGGCAGAAACAGCAGGAATGAACCAGGACCCTTCAAAACAACATGAAGTCCTGCTCTCAGCTGCGCTTCATGGCGTACAATAGTGTGGACTTGTTCACAAGGTTGTGACATTAGTGAAGCTACTACTTTCTCTGCTCGAGTTAGTTGTGAGCAGAAGCAAGTCTGGCCATCTGCACATTGCGTGATCTTATCCCGGCAGACGTAGAAGTGTGTTGTAAAGTGCCACACCTCTGGAGGAGAAGTAGTGCTCTGCACTAGTGAACTATGGTAATGCATTTTCAGAGATTATGCATTTATGATACGATCAGCCAAGACTGGATATTGTTATGATTAATGGAAAATGTTACTTGTTATGACTGCGCTATTACTTATCGCTATTACTTATTATTATTTATTATTTTCTTCCTGTGTGTATGTATGTGTGAGAGTGCTATTGCTCTAGGAATAGGTTTACCAGTCGTTCGTTTTTATCCAGTTCCCCTGTTACAGGTGGTTCATCTGTTTCTGGCCATTCCTAATAGTGAAGGGAAAGGAAGATGGAAAAAGAACCCTCTGCTTATGTCAGCCTTTATCAATGCATTTGGCACGTATGAACACATATCTCTTAGAGGTGATTAAGTATTTCCATCTACATTTGTTTTTTTCCCCCAAGCAAATAATTTTTAACTACATGGAAATTTTTGTGTTGCTGACATCCGATTAAAACTCCTCAGGATTAAATGTTTTCAGGTTTTGATGATTTTTGAAAGCCAAAAAAGGGAGAATTTTTTGTGAGTGCTGAATAATTTCCACTAAAATGTAACATAAAGTACTGAAATTTTTACAGAAAACGAGGAGTCATTTTCTTAAACACTTCCAAACCCTCCAACCATCAGGTCCCTTAAGAAAGGGTGAGCTGATTTCTACGCTGTCAGTTCTGTTGTTTTGCCTTTAAGCCTCTGTACCTGTGGCTGAGATTTGCTCCTCTGAAGGGGTTAATTGCTGCTGAAGGGAGTGGGAATTAGTTACTTCAGAAGGGCTACAGGACCAAGATCTTTTTGCGTTTTCCAAAGTGGTGGATAGATCTCAGAACCCATAAATACAGTTGTTTATGGAGATTTAGCACCTGTTGTCATTCAGCACTGATCACACTCTTCTTCGTAAGGGCTTCATAGGCTCATGGGATAATTCAGGTTACGAGGGGACCAATCTCGTGTTCAAAGCAGGGTCAGCAATGAGATCAGACCAGGCTGCACAGGGCCTTATCTAGTTGGGTCTTGAAAATGGCAAGGATGGAGCCTACCCAGCCACTGTTCACTGCTTGACTGGCCTCAAGGGAAAAGTTTTTCCGTCTGTCTACACTGAACCTCTCTTGTTTCACCTTATGCCTGTTTTTCGCTCGTCTTCCCACCATGCACTACTGCAGAGAGCCTGCCTCTGTCTTCTCACTAACCTCCTCACAGGTATAGGAGGGCTGCTTTTAGGTCCCCCCGAAAAATGTGCCTTCTCCTGGCTGAACAAGCCGCGTTCCCCCAGGGTACTAACATCGGACTCTGCGTGTGAATATCTCGAGTATGAAATGGTTCATCTAAATCTAACTTGTCTCAATGAAATGGAGCAGCGAGTATTCTAGATCTGGGCAGACCTTCAGTGCTTGAGCTGCGGCAGTAGATGAGCCATCTTCTGTCCCAGTGACAACACTTGGAAGGACTGGAGAGCTGTCCTGAGCCCTGTGGTCACTGAGATGAGGCCTGGTAGGGGGATTCGTTATTGTTGTCCAGAGAAGGGTACCTGAAACATTTCTGGGCACCATCAGCTGAATCCAGCTCTGTGTGCATGAGTGTATGAGTGTATGAGACCACTGCTAATGTTTGGGTCAAGAAGGAAATACAGAACTTGTTATGTATGAAGCTGTAGGCTGTTAACTTGTTGTGTATGAAGCCTCCCGCTTAGGGGGCCTGTCTCCATGGGGTGGTATGTGGTCAGGGTGCAGGTCCCTGGGTGCATGCATGTCATTGCAATAACAGTCGCATTGGTTGCATCTGCACAGCGTAGGAGTTTTTGAAGCAGGTGCTATTCCTGTCCCCTATGGATCTTTGAAACGAGGTCATGCTGTTGCCATAGGCTGGCTGAGCCGTGACCACAGAGAGCACAACAAGCATCTTCTTTCTGTGCAGGAGAGCAGAGAGCAACTGTGTAGCTGTTGACTGCCACAGAGATAAATGTCTTTTCATGCCAACACTACCAGTGTTTTTCCCCTTTTTACACAACCGTCAGAGTTATACCAGACTGCAGGAAAAAGCAACGCCAGTGAGCTACAGCATTAAAGCATTCCTACTCTGTTCCTTTTCTCCTTGTGCAAACATCTCATGGCTTGTCAGCATGAATAACTTTTTGACAGTGTAGTAGAACTGTTTTTGCCAGGACACATCTAATTGCGGTATTATCTGTTCTGTGCATTGTTCATTCTCTACATTTTTGTTTAGTCTTGAGCATAAATTTAATGGCTTGTTTTTTCTACTGCTACCCAAAATAACTTTTTTATATTAAAATAGTATGGGAAGGCTTTGTTTATTTGCATATATGTGTATTTATTTAAAACAAAGCCCTGCCTAAAAACTCGGCTTTATGACTGGTTTTGCTATTCTGCATGAGTATTTGAAAACTTCTTGAGTAAAAAACTTAGCAGGGGATGGATTTATCTTGGACCAGTCATCAGCGGCAGGATGCAAAAAAACTTCTGCATAACAAAGCAAAAGTCAACAGTGCTGGTACTGGCTTTGTGTCTAATCCCAGCCGGACATGCTGAAGCAGTGAGAAGGAGAGCAGACATGCTGAAATACCTCGGAGGCTGCTTCACCCCTCAGTTCCTAATGCTCTTTTACAAGGGAATGGCGTGTGCTGACCCAAACATGCCATCTTACAGAAGCAGACCTGAGCGTGGAAGGCGCATGTATTTTCTTGATGGTTTTGGTCTTATATTTGCCAGCCATGGAAGGACGGTCAGGTAGAGTGTTTTCTGTTGCTTTCTTGGTGCTTTACCAAACAGGGCACTAATTGGCGTACTTTAGTCCAGCTCGGTGTCACTAGGCAGCTTCAGAGAGTGAGATGGAAGAGACTCCGGGTGCAAGATAGCGGTATGCTCTGTGACCTCCAGTTTCAGTTTATTTTCATATATTCACCATGAAAATGTACATGTGTCCATCCGGCTGCCCAGAGGAGGGGTGAACTGCTTCCTGCTTCCCCAGAGATAAACTTGGTTCTCCATTCCTCCAAGGTTTTGGTCCTATTCAACTCATGCACCAAAGGTCTTTTTTTGCTAGCAGACCTGTTGTTATTTTATTTGTTGCTTTTATGTGTCTTGCTGAGGAATACAAGGGAGTTCTTATTAACAGCGAGACAGTGCGAAGTGAGGTTGCCTTTGTCATCCGGTAAATGAATACGTCTTTGAAAGGTGGAAGGTTTCAATCTTGTCTGTAATTCTTCCCTCTTCCCAAGAGTGAGGCTACTCTTTCTGTCAGGTTCAGTTCAGTGGTTTCTTGCTCTGCTTTCCAAATCGGCTTGTGCTGGGCTTGTCAAGCAAGAAGTATACACACTCATCAAATCTCAATCCTCCATCTGCTGCATGGGGAATTCCCAGGCCTGAAGGCTTAAATCCATTTAATGAGTTCCTATGTATTCCTGCTCAAAGGACAAGGAAACCTTTTAAGGGTTTCTGTACTTCATGTAATAAGGACCTGATTTGTATTATGTACAGTCAAAATGAATGACAGTAATGCTCTGCCACAGGAGCATGATAATGTGTTTGCCAGACTGTTATTCAGGCTGTTTGGGTGGGATTCGGTTTGAGATCAAACCACCTACCTGAACATTTCTGCATGTGAGCTACGTGTTTCAGCTTCTGTTACAGTTAGTGGCAATCCAGGACTCCCTTCGGTTACTGATATGTCGGTGCTCGGTGCTGTTTTTAGTCACTCTGCAGTGTCCCACAGGTCTTGATCTGCTGCTCCAGGACTGCACAGCCCTCGCACAGCCGCATGGCATATCTGCCAGCTGGGTCTGGGTATCTCATGTACTCTAGAGCTTCTCAAATGTCACAGCACTCCATGTGAGGGCAGCTGAACCCAACTCTGAGTCAACACAGGCGGTGGTGTCTACAGAGTTATTCACGTCACCAGGATGTGCAGTTCAGTTGCCTAAACATACGCATTTAGTACCACGCCAGGGTGTCCAGGACATCCACATGGAGATGGCAAGCATAACACAAGGCCTGCAGAGACCTTCCTTCTGGAGTGGCAGATGGAGGCCGAGCAGGGTACCTTGGACCATGTCAAATAGCAATAGATGCCTGTGCTTAGGCAACTGGATCATACCCAGATATGTATTCAGACCTGTGTTTTTATGGCACAGTTTAGTCTACTTGAGGGTGCATTGCATCACTCTCTAGTTTCTGTTGCCTGTGCTGAGTATGCCTCTAGTGACTGAAATGGGAGCTTAGAAACCCATCTCACCTGGCAGATACCTTGAGTGTCCTAATTTCGAACTGAACGTCACCCTTGCTCCCAAAAGTAGGCAGAAACTCAGAGAAGAGTGGATGTTGGGGTGCATTAATGATAGAGAGGAAGAAGGGATCCTTTCCTAAGCGAGAAAAAAATAGCCCTACTGGGGTTTCTGAGACCACTATGATGGGCACAGTGATAATGTCTAGATTAGCATCTTTGCAGTACAGCATTCTTAGAGGCACCAGAGCTGGCACATCTGCCTGGCAGTGAGATGCGAGAAGCACGAGCAGCATAGCCCCATAGTGCAGGTTACGTAAGCCTGTCCTGAGCATGAGTTATTGGCTCCAGTAC